TTATCTCTAGAGTGAATATATATATATATATATATATATATATATATATATATATATATAAAAGAGTAGACAGAGTATTATCTAATTAGCTAATTTCAGAGTTAAATCTATGAACTCCTTCTATACTCTTTCCTTGCTATAAAAATTATTTTCTATATGTACAAAAAAATAGACTTGATTTCAACCTGATAACGGTTAAAGCAACACAAAACAAAAACTTTTCCTAGGAAAAAGAAGGCTGAAAAATAACTTACAAACATACATATACAAAAAACTATTTAAATGCTCACTGGAGTACTGCTATAATGTACTATATTTTAATAAAGTAAATTTTAGTAAAAAAATTATAATCAAAATTTATATAACCAAAGAACTTTTTTTTTTTTGTAGTATTCGGGCCTCTCACTGTTGTGGCCTCTCCCGTTGCGGAGCACAGGCTCCGGACGCACAGGCTCAGCGGCCATGGCTCACGGGCCTAGCCACTCCGCGGCATGTGGGATCTTCCCAGACCGGGGCACGAACCTGCGTCCCCTGCATCGGCAGGCGGACTCTCAACCACAGCGCCACTAGGGAAGCCCCAAAAAACTTTTAAGTCCCAACAGTTATTTCAAATACTTGGCTAACTTTCAAATATGCCCTAAGGAGCAGAGCTCAGCATAACATGAGGACTTACTGAAAACCCCAAATATTTTTTCCTTTTAAAACTGCAGCTCAATCTCTCTAGCCTATGCCAAGGGGAAATCACCATAGTATATGATTCCCTGAGCGTGGTCTATCAAGTTATTAAAACTAGTGTCTCCAATTTTCATACCTACTTAGAGAGTCAGACTAGAGGAATAAAAAGTATAAATAGTGGCAGAGTACTCAGTATTCATCTCTCTACACTTCATTTTAATTGAATGCATCACCCTACCCATAAAAAGATGATGTTACACACAGTGCAGAGAGCTTTCAATTTAAGCTCTTTCTCTAGAACTATAAGCATTAGAAGCCAGTATGTCCAGCAGTGAGTCAGTTAGTACAAGTACATTCTAACGGCAGACTGGCTGACTTTAGTATCCTGGCTGTCACCTACTAGCCACATAACCTCAGCATCAGTTTCCTTATCTGTAAAATGAGGTAACAAAAGTACCTATCTCACAGACTTATGAACATTAAACGAAATAGTGCAAGCAAAAGATCTCACTTAACACCTGACAAATGAGTGCTTAAACACCACTGAGCAATTCTATTTTTGATCCTCACCATCATTAGCGTTATCATCAGCTATTCTTTACACTCAGCTCCCCCCAACTCCCTGCCTGCCTAACAAATGGAAGCTTTCTCTGTATGGTTGGCAGCAGCTGAGGGGAATGGTCTATGGCTGCAAAACTGAGTGAAGTTCAGAAGATCTGAACTAGGGACCTACTGCCTTGATTACATGACTTTGTTATTGTTCTGAGTTCGCTAGGATCAAATCAAGGCGAGGGAAAGTCTAAAACTTAGGCGTACTCCTAACCCCTGTAATCACACTCAGCACTCGTCAACCAGTTCTCCCAACCACCACCCCACCCCCGGCCCCTTTGATACTGTGCTTCAGTGATGAATAAAACAAATATTTTTTTTGTACTGAACAAACACATACTGCCTCTTAAACCATAATTACATTGATTTAAATATTTACATGGTCAAGCACAGCTTATTTTATGCCTTAAATGTACCTCTGTACATTAGCTCTCAAAGGATTTAAAGTATAATGATAAGGAAATAACTCTTGGAATTGACCTGGGATAAGTTAACGCCTTAATTTGGTAAGCAGTAGGTTAAACTGTATTGCTTATAAATAAATGATTTAAAACAAGAGTTAAATGCCAATCTACTTTATATTTCAAACTGAACCACAAAATTCAAGTTAAAAAAAACTTCAATAGATTTAACCTTCCCTCAGACTTAACTTACCTGCCTCAGGTTCTATGTTTAAATTAGTTGTTACAAAATTAGATGGGAAGAGTCCTATTCCTCTGTGATTTTCTCCTTTCCACCAATTGGCATCACTGAAAATACAGTACAAAAATGTTACTTGTTACTCTACATTTCAGTACACTAATGTCAAGAGTAATTAAGACAAAAATTAAATTTAGCCTACTTTGAAAATACCAGCTCAAATCCCACTATATTTAAATGTAGTTCTTCTTAAACTTAATAGGAACTATAAAAAAGCACAAATAAAATAAACATCCATACTCCCATACTTAAATTTAGAACCAATCAGCAATTGGTCATACTTGATTCTGGGCCTTAAAAAAACCCAGAACATTATAAATAACACTGAAGTTTCCTTTATCAACATCCCTAAGTCCCAAACTCACATCCATGTTTCATACCACCACTATCAAGTTGGTATGTCACCTTCCTTCAAGTGTATTTTTTATTCTTTTACTATATCTATATAGTAAACTCTATAGATATAAATATCTATGTATCTATAGATATCTATATACCTATAGATATCTATAGCCAGCGCTATAGATATAAATACTAGTCATTATAGATCTTTTAAATTTTATGTCAATACTTTCAGCTCTTGCTTATTCCTTTTAAAGATCCATCACACAAACATGGCATATTTGATTTATCCATCCCCATACAGGTGGACATTTAGGTTATTTCCAGTCTTTCACCCTTATGAGGATTGGGGCAATAATCATTCTAGGTTTTAGGGCATACATGCAACAATTCTCTAGCTTATTCACAGACATGGACTTGCAGGGTCACAGAACACGTTACTAGTATTGCCAAATGTTCCCTAAAGTGGTTGTGGCAATTCACCATCCTCCTTTCCCTCAGTGGTGTGTGAGAATGTCATTTCTGCTCACACGTGTTAACTGTCCAATCAACACATGATGTCACACAGGAGAAATCATCTCTCACTGCTGTGCTCATCTGCACTTCTGAGCATCCAAAATGCCTCTTCTGTAAACTGCTCGTTCATACCTTCTGTCCACTTTTCGTTTTCCACTGGGTCATTTGTCTCTTTTCATGGATATGTAGGAGTTCTGTACATATTCTGAATAGCATTTGTTTGTCTGCATTATGCAAATACCTTCTCTCAAACTGTCACTGTCTTTTAACATATGCTTATGGTTTTCTTTTATTGCATGTTGTTTTCTGTTTCTATACAAATTTAGCAAACTTTTATGGTTTACACTTTTTAATTTTTTTTTATTTTTAAAAATATTTATTTATCTGGTTGTGCTGGGTCTTAGTTGCAGCACGTGGGCTCCTTTAGTTGCGACACATGGGCTCCTCAGTTGCGGCAGGTGGGTTCCTTAGTTGTGGCATGTGAACTCTTACTTGCGGCATGCATGTGGTATCTAGTTCCCTGACCAGGGATTAAATCCCTGCATCGGGACCATGAAGTCTTATCCACTGCACCACCAGGGAAGTCCCTACACTTTTTTAAAAAAGAAATCTTTATCCTTGAACTCCTATTCTCCTATATACTTAATAGTTTCAGGTTTTCCTTTATATCCCTCTCCCATGTTTAGTTCTTTAATTTATTTGGAATGAAATTTTATGTACTGTGTGAAGCTGAATCAAATTTTATTTATACTGCATAAAAAACCATTCATCCCAGCAAAATTTACTTAATAGTACACCAATTTTCCTGCTGTTTTATGATAGCCTACCTTTCAAACAGCAAGCTGCTATCTGTTCATGAGCCTATTTTTGGATTCCATCCTGTTACAACAGTCTATGTATTTATTTACTACAGCTTGTTAATATGCCTTGATACTTGGCAGGGAAAGTACCTTCTCTATGTTACTGTATACCTTCACATTTCTATATTAATGTTAAAATTAAAATGTTCTCAAGTTCTCTAAAAAAAGTCTTATTGGGCTTTTAATTGGAAATGCACTGTTTATGCATTAACATTGGAAAAATTAAACCTTTACAATATTAAGGTTTCTTAACCATAAACATGGTATCTCTCTCCATTTATATTTACATAAATATATTACATATATTTATATTTGTTTGTATCTTTCAAAGAATTTTATAATTTTTTCCATAAAGTCCTTATGTACCTTTGTTAGGTTTATTTATTCCTCAATCATTTATAATTTTTGTGACTATAGAGAATGACATTTTTTTCTACTACATTTTCTAAATAGTTGTGATTAAAGCATACCACTGATTTTTGTATACTGAGCTTATATCCAACAACGTGATGAACTCTTATCAGTTTTAACAGTTTGATCATTGATTCTCTTGGACCTTGTAAATGGACAGCCACAGAATCTGGAAATCATAATTTTGTCTATTCCTTTCCAAACACCTGAAATAGACCCCCTGGATAAGCCTTCTTTCCTGGATGCTTGTACCAGGTGTGATTCTGCTTTCTTCTGGACCCCAATGTTACCTCTTACGGCATTCACAATCTGCATCCCACCTAATTACCTCTAACTTTAACTCCCTTACTTTATTCTAGGTTTCATGAAGAAAGAACTGTGCCCTTGGTCACTTTTTTATTATAAACACAGCTTATTTACATAACATTTTCTCAATAAATATTTACTGTAGCAAAGTAAAACGATTTTGTGTATCTACCCATTTAAAAATATACTAACGTATCCTTACTAAGTTATTTATAATGGATACCAAATACATTTGCAATCTCTCTTCATAGCAACAAGCTATTAGGTATCACTCTTGCTAAATTTCATCAACTTCTTTTAAAAGCAAAGTAAAACAGACTTAGGCCCAATACAGGATCTATTCTTTATTACAACTTTAAGTGATAGAGAAATTGTGAGGGAGAGGCAGTAGCAGATTAAGAATTGCGGGGGAGCTGAGTATAGTTTTTGGTTGCACTGATCAAAGGTACTATAACTATACCTCTTCCTAAAGTTTTTTTTGCCAGTAATTTTAGTATATACAACTCCTAACATAAATGCATTCAGATGACTGAATATTTGTTTCCCAATTGTGATAATAAACATTATTATTTAATACATTTTTAATCCAAGATCTAAAGAATACTTTATTATCAAATTTAACAAAAGAATAAGAAACTCACACTACTCCGTCTAATTTGAGGAAAAAAATAACTGAGGTAGAAAAGGTTCTAGTATGATTTAAATACACCAAAGTCAAAAGCTGAATATCCAGCATTCTAAATTAAGGGTATTATACTTAATAACTTCAAAATATTCCAGAAATATTTAAAACATACCTGTCATCTAAAACAATAATAATTTCACCATGTTTAAAGGTGAGTTCATTGTCCTCCACAGCTTCAAAATCATATAAAGCTCTCACTTTCCTTGCAACTTTATTATTTGATGGAATTTCTGCAGATGGATATAAAGATTTTGTCTCTGTGTGCTGCTGCTTCTGCTCTTGCAATGATAATTCAATAGCTAGTTTGAAAAATTAAAATGCAAAAAACAAGACAGCCAGAATTAATTCTTATTCTTTAAAACTTTAATAAGAAATATTACATAATATACTATTTAATAAGAATAAATCAAGTGAATATCTTATTTGTCCAGTTGAATGCTAAACAATTAGCTTTTGTGGGGGCAGGAAGGGGAGAGGGGACAGGGCAGAGAACCATGACATTTTTTAAAATAAGTTTTTGCTCATTCCTTATTATCACGGTCTGTCATATATAGCAGCTATTATTTTTACAGCAAACAGATTGTGACATTATAATATGGGTAGCTTTCCATATAGGACAAGTCATGAACATATTTCTGTGCTTGACTCATAACTTTGGCATTAAAGAAAAGGTGAAATGTAATCTCGTCAAAGGTAGGACATTAAATACATGTTACTGACAACGATTATGAGTTCAATTAATCTTATATCACGTCAATTGTTTCTCTTACTTTTCAGACTCCACTAGTTTTTAGATTAGCAACACTAAATTACACATGCATGATCCTTTATTTACCTTTAGCTATATCTTCATCTTCTTTGTTTTTGTTCGATGGCGTACCATTCTTGGCAGCAACTGAGACAGTCTGTAATGTATGAGTAAAATGAACACAACTACCTTTTCAAGGAAAACACAAGCTCTATGATTATTCGCTCATGCTAATTAAAAAGTTAATTAAGTTTCACTTAAAAGTGAAGGTCTTTGTGATAATATTATGTAGTTGTTTTCAAGCACTAAAACAGAACATCAGAATATTCAAGAAAACATTAAAAAATCACAAAGGGCACGAACTGGCTTACATTTTGCATAAATCTTAGTATCTGACACAGAACCTGGCATACAGAAAGTACTTAAATATGAATCTTTCCTGATCTCAGTGGTCCAAGGTCTCTCATTCAGTGAGAGGTGCTACACTGCTAGAGGCGCAGGGCTACACAAGCAGTAGAAGCAAGAAGCCATGATAATGACTGAAGAGAAGAGGAGGAAGGACGCAGACAAAAGGTGCAGCTCTAGACAGACACGTTGGGCCCCCTTTTACTACTCATTGTGTTTGAATGGTGGTGGCTCTTCAGGCATAGCAGAGGACTAAGGAAGGTCATGGTTAAACTTAAAGGCATGGAAGACAGAGATGTCCAGGATTCTGAACCATCAACCAGTTCTTTAACCCAGATTTTTGAGAATGACCTGCAGAAAGGACAGAGCAGGAAAATACTAGACTTTTATTACTTATAAGGTTTTTATCTCAAAATTCTACCTTGAACCCTTAGGCCTGGTCAGCTATAAAGGTTCTTTTTGTGTCTTCAGTCTACAGTCCAAAATTTAAAAAATATATACAGTACTTCTCTTAGTCTCTTTGCCTAGCCCACATCCTGGAAAAGAAGAGGCACTGAGAGCAAAAGCCAAGACACAGTGTTTTTCTCCCACAGACTAAAATAAACAACCTACTCTGTGACTCATCATCCCTGCTCCCACCCCTGTCCTACTAAAGCTACCCCCTACATCCCCAAATAAATTTCTCATCTTATAGTTCACCCCATCTTATATGTAAACTACACTATTCACTCCAGGCATATTCATTCTTCAACAAACAGGTCTTGAGCTTTCTCAAGTCCATGAACTGGTTCATGTCATTCCTTCCTTGATGACCTCTTTACCCCTCTCTACATACTGAAATACATTCCAGCCTAAAAATTCTACTCTTCACCTTCTTCACCACCCCAATCTGTAGTTAACCTCTCCCTCCTGGCATCTAGCTTGTGTATCCCTCATCCATATTTGTCACTTATAACTAGCTATTTTTCACATGTATATAGTTACCCTCCAAATTGACTATAAATTTCTTGAACATAAGGGCTCTCTCACACATCTATGCCTTTTGCATGACTCTACATTCAGAGTAGCATTAAACAGATTATTTATGGATGATTCAATTCTCAATGTTCTCATTTGTAGAAGTAGTTCACTTGACAATTACAATGTCTACTCAATATAGGCACTACGATAGACAGACTCATGTAGAGTGCAGGTGAGCAATGATGACTAAGATAAACCTTGCCAGCTTTTACCCAAGGTATATACCTTCAAAATACTAAAGGGTCAACCATGAGTCTGAATGATCTCTTACCTGAGAACCTGCTGAAGGAAAAGCAATTCCTTCTTCTTTCATAGATTTAATAGTTGCAGATATCAGACTAAACTGAGGGTCCTTCTGAAATTCTTCTGACCACTCCACCATTAAAGATTTCAGTTTTTCACATACTTTAGGATGAGCCTTTTAAAGAAAAGGCAAAGAAAAAAATTGTTAAAATAAGTACTTGAATTATTTAACAAAGAGAATTACCACCAAAATTCTCTAATTTTATGAATATCAACAAAAGTCTAGCAATCCTTAGCCTAAATGAGCACTTGATAAATGCTTATTTACATTTTAATATATAGTTGTTTCTTGGAAAATTACTTTTTTTTTTTTTTTTGGTGGTACACGGGCCTCTCACTGTTGTGGCCTCTCCCGTTGCGGAGCACAGGCTCCGGACGCACAGGCTCAGCGGCCATGGCTCATGGGCCTAGCTGCTCCGTGGCATGTGGGATCTTCCCGGACCGGGACACGAACCCCCATGTCCCCTGCATTGGCAGGCGGACTCTCAACCACTGTGCCACCAGGGACGCCCAGAAAATTACCCTTTTTGAACATCAAAGTTTATGCCTTATACAATGACAATGAATCTATTATATTCAGAGGTTATTTCTTTTATGTTTTCTTAATATTCTCAATATTAGATTAAGCTTTTCATATCAACTAAACTAAAATTCAGATATTTTTACCACTAATAGCATGAGAATAGTGCTTCAGAGCTTCTAACAGAAATAAATTAATAACAACCCCGTCAAGAAGACCCTCTCCACCCTGCTCTAAAATAAAGGGTCCCTTTGCTCACCATCGCTAATGGGAATCAGGACAGAATGGTGGTTAGTTTGGACTCTGAAGTCACAGAAACCTGAATATGAACATCAACTATGCCACTTAGTAGCTGCATAACCTTAGACAAGTTACTTAACTTCTCTTAAGTCTGTTTCTGCATCTATAAAATAGGAATGATAAGGGAATCTAACTTCTAAGTGTTGTTAAGAGCTTTAAACAAGGTAGCATACATAAAATGCTTAAAGCAGTGACTGCTAACCCTCAATAAAGATCAGCTGTTATCACTAATATATATGCTTTGGGGAGGAAAACAGTTTTTGGTGCTACAAATGCAAACAACAAATTTTAGAACAGAAAGTTTTTTTCATTTCAAATCTATTTAAAATGATTTCCCTTACTATACAACTCTATTAATGCTTTATATAGTTAAAATAACCCAGCATATGTATTTTTTAATGACTTAAATTTCTTCTCTTTTTAAAATTTACCTTATTTTTTATCACAGCACGTACTTCTGTTGCAAAATCACGGGAACATACTTCTAAATGAAATATCTTTCCACAGTTTGCCACACAAGCCCCAAGAAGCTATTAATTAAAATAAAAATCAGCATGTAAATGTTGAGATATTATCTTACTTAACTGAAATAAATACACATTTAAAATTTGGGTCAAATAATAACATGACTTTCACTTACAGTTAACGCCTGCAGAGCAACATGAGGAACCTTATGATTTACCCTTTTCATTATGGCTTTTAGGCAATCTTTTGCTCTAGAAAAATGAAGAAGGTTAAGTGTTCAGAATTTCAATTCAAACATTTACTTTTAAATTTAAACTTATTTGGTAGCAGAATACCTTATATATACACCTGCAAATGTCACTTCATTAAAGGACTCAATCTATAAAATGATCTTACACACTGTTTTGCTCATAGACTTGTAGAACTTAAAAAAAAAAAAAGAAAAAGAAAACTTGTTGCAAAGGTTGTACATTCCAAAATCAAAAATGAAGAGCCAAATCATTTCAAAAAAGGTCAGTCAACACAAGAGAACAATATCATATAAATTACCTTTTCATGTCTTCAAGACAGACTGAGCTTTCACACAGCAAATTCTTATCTTGTGGGGAAAAAAACTAGCAAGATATATAGTCTCAAAAGATTTAAGTATAAACATGCATGAATGCACTTTGAAAAGCTGTAATGTTAAAAAAAATGCTTTCATCAGTCTTCTAAACTTCTAATGTATAATCAGTTCAGCTTGACTGCTCCATTCCATCCCCAAAGCACCATTATTTATATTCATTTTTTCATTATTATTTATTACATTTACCTACTTCATTATTAAACATGTCTAAGTCACAGGGGAATTCCCAAAATAATTAAGTCTATTCATTGTTAACGTGTGTCCCTACTGTAACAAGGCTTTAATTATGCATTTTAATATTTCAAGTTTTTGGTCAATTCTTTTCATTTGTTCTCGCAGGATGAGGTTAACCACATAAATCCAGCCACCAGCATGTCTTTACTTTTATCCCCCAAAAGGAAATAGTAAAAATCCTATTTTCCTTCCAAAGTTACATCAGGATAAGAGACACAGATTATTAAGTTCCTAGACAATCAGTGGGCATGACTGGGCATCTTACCCATTAGGAGTGCTTCCAACCTTGTCACATATGTCCATAATAAGACTCCAATCTTCTGTAGTGTTGTACTCATTTGTGGCCTTTTCTATAAGAGATAAGCACACACAAAAATAAGGATGTCTTGCATAACAATAAATACCAAGAAAGACATAAAAGCAGAAAGAGAAAAGCAACCAGTTACACACAAGGGAACTCCTGTAAGACCATTAGCTGACTTTTTGGCAGAAACTCTACAGGCCAGAAGAACATGGCACAGTATATTTAAAGTAATTAAAGGAAAAAACCTACAAACAAGAATACTCTAGCCAGCAAAGATATCACTCAGATTTGAAGGAGAGATGAGTTTCACAAATGAACAAAAGCTAAGAGTTCAGCACCACTAAGCTGGCTTTACAAGAAATGTTAGAGACTTCTCTAAGCAGAAAAGACCACAACTAGAAATACGAAAATTATGAAAGGAAAAATCTCACTGGTAAGAGCAAATATACAGTAAAGGTAGTAGATCAACTACTTACAAAGCTGGTAGGAAGGTTAAAAGACAAAAAGTAAATTCATCTACAACCACAAGAGTAATTAAGGGATACAAAAAAAGAAAAATTGTAAAATATGACATAAAAAAAATTACAAGTGTGTGTAAGGAAATGTAAGGTGGTTAGATGTTTTTGAACTTAAGGTCATCAAGTTGGGACTTCCCTGGTGGCACAGTGGTCAAGAATCCACCTGCCAATGAAAGGGACATGGGTTCGAGCCCTGGTTCTGGAAGATCCCACATGCCATGGAGCAACTAAGCCCGTGTGTCACAACTACTGAAACCCACATGCCTAGAGCCCATGCTCTGAAACAAGAGAAGCCAAAGCGATGAGAAGCCCGTGCACTGCAACAAAGAGTAGCCCCCGCTTGCCTCAACTAGAGAAAGCCTGTGCACAGCAACGAAGACCCAATGCAGCCAAGTATGTAAATAAAATAAGTTAATAAAAAAAGAAGTCATCAAGTCAAAAAATATACATATGGTTATATGTATATGTCTCGATATATATCTATATGTTGATATTTATAAACTTCATGCTAACCACAAATCAAAAACCTACAAATAGGGACTTCCCTGGTGGTGCAGTGGTTAAGAATTTGCCTGCCAATGCAGGGGACATGGGTTTGAGCCCTGCTCCAGGAAGATCCCACATGCCGCAGAGCAACTAAGCCTGTGCGCCACAACTACTGAGCCTGTGCTTTAGAGCCTGTGAGCCACAACTACTGAGCCTGTGTGCCACAACTACTGAAGCCCATGCACCTAGAGTCTGTATTCCACAACAAGAGAAGCCAATGCAATGAGAAGCCTGCGCACCACAATGGATAGCCCTCACTCACCGCAACTAGAGAAAGCCTGTGCGCAGCAATGTAGACCCAACGCAGCCAAAAATAAATAAATAAATTTACTAAAAAAAAAACCCACCCCAAAACCTACAATAGATACACATACAAAAAAGAGAAAAGAATCCAAATGTAACACTAAAGATGGTCATCAAATCACAAGAAATCAAAGGAAAAAGGAACAAAAAAGAACTACAATAACAACCAGAAACAATTCACAAAATGGCAGTAAGTACAAACCTATCAATAATTACTTTAAATGTAAATGGACTAAATGCTCCAATCAAAAGACACAGGGTGGCAGAATAAATTAAAAAACAAGACTCGTATATACATGCTGCATACAAGCAACTCACTTTAGATGGAAAGATACATACCAACTGAAAGTGAGTGGATGGAAAAAGGTATGTGTTCCATACAAATGGAAACAAAAAGAAAGCTGGGGTAGCAATATGTATATCAGATAAGAGACTTTAAAACAGACTGTAACAAGAGACAAAGATGGACATTACATAATGATAGAGGGATCAATCCAACAGAAGATACAACAATTGTAAATTATGCACACAACATTCAAGCACCTAAATACATAAAGCAAATATTGACAAACATAAATGGAAATATTGACAGTAATATAATAATAGTAAGGGACTTTATCACCCCATTTACATCAATGGGCAGATCATCCAGACAGAAAATCAATAAAGCAACATTGGCTTAAATGAGCAGATGGAACAAACATATAGAGCAGATAGAGCAGATGGAACAAACATATATAGAACATTTCATCCAAAACCAGCAGAATACACATTCTTTTCAAGTGCACATGGAACATTCTCCAGGAGAGATTATATGCTAGGTCACAGAACAACTCTCAATAAATTTAAGAATGAAATCATACCAAGCATCTTTCTCTGACTACAGTGGTATGAGACTAGAAATCAACTACAAGAAAAAAACTGCAAAGAACACAAACACATGGAGGCTAAACAATGTTACTAAATAACCATGAGCCACTGAAAAAAAAATCAAAGAAAAAATAAAAAAGTACCTGGAGACAAATGAAACTGGAAACATAATGATCCAAAATCTTTGGGACACAGCAAAAGCCGTTCTAAGAGGGAAGTTTATAGCAACAGAAGCCAGGCTCAGGAAACAAAACTCTCAAATAAACAACCTAAACTTACACCTAAAGGAACTAGAAAAAGAAGAACCAACAAAATGCAAAGGTTAAGAGAAGAAAGAAAATAAAGACCAGAGCAGAAATAAATGAAAGAGAGACTAAAAAAACAATAGAAAAGGTCAATGAAACTCAGAGCTAGTTCTTTGAAAAGATGAATAAAACTGATAAAACTTTAGACAGACTCAACAAGAAAAAAAGAGAGGGCCCAAATAAATAAAATCAGACATAAAAGAGAAGTTATGACTGACAATGCAGAAATACAAAGGATCATAAGAAATTACTATGAACAACTGTATGCCTATAAAAGGGGCAACCTAGGAAAAATGGATAAATTCCTAGAATGTACAATCTCCCAGGACTGAATCAGGAAGAAAAAGAAAACATGAACAGACCAATTAACCAGTAATAAAATTGAATCAGTAATTCAAACAAACAAACAAAAACACCCTCCAAGAAACCAAAGTACCAAAGTCCAGGACCAGAGGGCTTCACAGGTGAATCTATCAAATATTTAATGAAGAGTTAACATCTACTCTTCTCAAACTATTTCAAAAAACTGAAGAGAAACGAATGCTTTCAAACTCATTCTACCAGGCCAGCATCATCCTGATATCAACACCAGACAAAGAAATCACACAAAAAAAGAAAATTATAGGCCAATATCACTGATAAGTATAGATGCAAAATCTCAAAAACATATTAGCAAACCAAATTCCACAATACAGTAAAAGGATCATACACCACAATCAAGTGGGATTTATCCCAGTGATGCAAGGACGGTTCAACATCCACAAATCAATCAATTCGATACACCACATTAACAAACTGAAGAATAAAAATCATATGAGCATCTTAATAGAAACAGCTTTTGAAAAATTCAAAATCCATTTGTGACAAAAACACTCAATAAAGTGGGTATAGAGGAAACATACCTCAAAGTAATAAAGACCATATATGAAAAACCCAGAGCCAACCTCATACTCAATGGTGAAAAGCTGGAAGTATTTCTCCTAAGATCAGAAACAAGACAAAGATGCCCACTCTTGTCACTTTTATTCAGCAGAGTATTGGAAGTCCTACCCACAGCAACCAGACAAGAAAAAGAAATAAGGGGAATCCAAATTAGAAAGGAAGAAATAAAACTGTCACTGTTTGCAAATGATATACTATATGTTGCTTTTCTATACGTTAACAACAAACTATCAGAAAGGAAAATTAAGAAAATAATCCCACTTACAATTGCATTAAGAAGAACACAATTCCTAGGAATAATCTGACCAATGAGGTAAAAGACCCGTAGTTAGAAAACTACAAGACACTGAAAAAAGAAGTTGAAAACAATGATGTCCTGTGTTCTTGGATTGGAAGAATATTGTTAAAATGACCATACTACCCAAGGTAATTTACAGATTCAATGCAATCCTTATCAAAATACCAATGGCATTTTTCACAGAACTAAAGCAAATAATTCTAAAATTTGTACATAATCACAAAGACCCCAAATAGCCAAAATAACCTTGAGAAAGAAGAGCAAAGCTGGAAATATCACACTAGCTGATTTCAAACTGCTAAAAAGCTACAGTAATCGAAACAGTATGGTCCTGACATAAAATAGACACATGGATCAATGGAACAGAATAAAAAGCCAAGAAATGAACAACACACTTATATGATCAATGAATCCATGACAAAGGAGGCAAGAATATATAATGGGGAAATAAATTCTCCAATAAATGGTGTTGGGAAAACTGGAGAGCTACATGCAAAAGAATCAAACTGGACTACTTTCTCACACCATATACAAAAATAAAGTCAAAATGGATTAAAGACCTAAATGTTAAGACCTGAAACCATAAAACTCCTAGAAGAAAACACAGGCAGAATGCTCTCTGACATCAGTCTTAGTAGTTTTCTTTGGATATGTCTCTTCAGACAAGGGAAACAAGAGCAAAAATAAACCAATGGGACTACATCAAATTTAAAAAGATTTGGCACAGTGATGGAAACTATCAACAAAACAAAAAGGCCACCTACTGAATGGGAGAAGATATTTGCAAATGATATATCTGATAAGGGATATCCAAAATACACCAAGAACTCATATAACTCAACATCAAAAAAAGCCATCAACCCAATTTAAAAAATGAGCAGAGGAAATGAATAGACATTTTTCCAAAGAAGACTTACAGATGGCCAACAGACACATGAAAAGATGCTCAACCTCACTAATCACCAGGGAAGTGCATATCGAAACCACAATGAGATACCACCTCACACTTATCAGAATGACTATCATGAAAAAGACAACAAATAACATGTGTTGGCAAGGATGTGGAGAAATGTGAACTCTTGTGAACTGCTGGTGAAACGAAATTGGTGAGCCACTATGGAAAATGGTATGGAGGTCCCTCAAAAAATTAAAAATAGTACTGCCATGTGGTCTAGCAATTTCACTCTGGGTATTTACCCAAAGAAAATAAAAACAATAATTCTAAAAGATATATGCACTTCAATGTTCACTGCAGCATTATTTA